GGCTTGTTGCTACATGTGGCTAGTGGTTCCCATACTGAACTATGCAGTTATAGAAAGCTAAGAGGTGATAAGAGCCCTACAATTTCTGATTAATTTTAGAGTAATATCCATTGAATATTCTTCCTCACTCCTTTCCTTCCTAACAAGGCTTTGCTTAGTCTTTGCTAAAAATTACTTGTGTTCTGTAAACACACCGCAGGTGAAAGAAGGAGGCAGGCTAGCACGGAGAGGGCAGAAGTCTTACTCTATGAAATTTGGTTCAGATAAATGGTTCTGATGGAGAAAATATACAATGAGTGCTAGCAAGACCTTGTAGGCATTTTAGATTTAAAAAATTCCTTTGATTGAGTCTAAGCAAGCCTCCTTATTTAACTGGTAAGGAATTTGAGGAAAAGAGAGGCTAAGCAATTTGTTTATGTCACACAGCGAGGTAGTGGCCATGGGACTCCTTGCTCTCAAGCATACCCTTCATTTCACTCGGCCAGGTGACTTTCGTAAGAAGTTCTGATGCTGTAATTCTGTTGTTCACCAGCCTTGGAGACAAGAGGAGCCAGTTGTAGTACAGTTTACACAACTGAGTGTCCAAGCCGGAAGCTGCCCTTTAGAAGTCAATCCTTCTGAACCGTCTCTGTGTGCCTTTGGAAAAAAAAATCCTGCTTTAATTAGTAAACACATTTACTTTTGGTCTTGAAGTCACAGTAGTATATTTTATGAATTAATAAGTGGCCTGGGTGTAGCTTGCTGGTAGAGTGTTTGTGTAGAACATGTGAATCCCCAGCACCACACACACAAGCACACACACAATCAAAAGGAAATGTACATCTTTTAAAAATAGCCTTTAAAAAATGAAAGTAGCCTTTTTGGGGTATGTTGTTAGGAAAAGGATTTGCTCTTGAAAATATCATGTTTAGGGTTGTGTGTGTGTGTGTGTGTTTCTTCTCCCACCACTGGGGATCCAATCCAGGCCCTCATGCATGCTAGTCAAAGGCTTTACCAATGATCTGCACCCCCAAGCTAAAGTACCCTGTTTTTATTTTCAAAGCTTAAGGGAACAATTGTCACCAGTAAGACTTGCCCCCACCATATCCCATTTAAAGTAAATGGATTTACAAAAAAGGAGAGTAAATAGAAATTTCTGTGAAGTGGTTTGTCATTCTCATATTTAATATGTTTCCTC